TGAGGTTTACGACATACATTTTATCATCCAAAACTGTGTTCCACAGGAGATATCGCTTGTGTGAGATCAAACGATATCTCCTAGGAGATATCGTTTTGACAGTAGATTTTGTACAATGCCCTGACAATGCTATGACGTCATGTACTTGATGACGTCACAATGCTATGACATCGCTGCACTGCAAGTCTAATGGCAGTATCATGTTCAGAGATGTACATTTTTCATTGAAAATTAATGAAGAGTGATTTTTAATGATAAGTAGAATCTCACCCTCGTGTCTACTGATACCAAATATATCAACACTCATTGATAAAGTAAAAATATCCTTCGGCAAGCCTCGGATATTTGTAACTTTATCAACTCGTGTTGATATAATTGATATCAGAAGACACTTGGGTGAGATTCTCTATGTATCACGACACGAATGTATTCCACGTCACTAGGTTCAAGGTTATATCAATGTTATATCTGGTAGAGGTCACTGTGTGAAAGGGAGATACAGAAACGTACAACGTGTGTATTCTGCAATGATTGAATTGTCATTGCATTCAATGCATAACCTTTATGTCATTTTCACTGCACATGTTAAATCATTGTGACTCATCGTACATTACATACATGTCATGATCACGAGGCTTGATGTGGCAGAGACACTGCTGATGTGACTGTAACATTTAATTCACTCGCTCATATTCACGAAAATGTCATTAGCCCTGTTGTAATGGCTTCTGTTTCTGTACGAGCGTTACAGGCAATTGTTCCAAGTAGTTCATGTTTAAGATATTTTTGCTGGTGGCATAGTGGACACAGACCCTTCAAGTGCCAGGTTCAAACCTTCGATTAGGATCCATGGTCTGTCATCAGACTACAGATATTGTAAATTTATTCAGACATCGCTTTGAGTTTGTCCCCATGCGGAGCATGAATACTGTACTTAATCTAAATGACCCGTGAAGATCCGGGTTAGAATTGATCTTCAGTAACCCATTCTTGTCGTAAGAGGCGACTAACGCGGGATCGGGTGGTCATACTCGCTGACTTAGTTGACACATGTCATCGGTTCCCACTTACGCAGATCGATGCTCATGCTGTTGATCACTTGATTGTCTGGTCCAGACTCGATTATTTACAGACCGCCGCCATACAGCTGGAATATTGCTGAGTGCGGCGTAAAACTAAACTCACTCATTCACTTAATCTACATTTCAAAGCAATGTTAAACTATATCACTCACTGAGTACATTAAAGATTCCATCTGTTACAGGACTTGCACAACTCCTGGCCCTGAGTGGAGGTTTTGGTAGCACAGGTAGCACAGGTACCACAGGTGGCACTAGCGGACTGTTTGGCAGCAGTTCAGGTAATTATTAATAATGTATTTTCATATTTCAAGAACTTGGAAATATCCACCAATAACATTAACTTTATATCGCAACATGTCTAAGATAGAGCACCGACACCTGCTGTCACGTCACGCCACGTCACACTACGTGACGTCATACCACGTCACTGAAAGAACGAGATAAAGCAACTGAAGTATCAAACAACTGTGGCATTTTGGCCTGTAACATGTTAAATGTTACATAGTTTCTACAATCCAATGTGTGTGTGCTGCTTCACATTGTGAAATAAAGCCAAAAGGAAATAATATTTTTAAATTGGCAATGATACGTTTATAAATGATACTTTTCAACTTATCGTCCTCCTCTTGCATTTGACAGGTCTCAGCCAGCAGCTGTACCAATGCCGAATCCTGACCCGACTGCTCCAGATAGAGCTGTGAAGCTGTAAATGCTTAAATGGCAGCTGTTAACATAGATAGTCAAAAGGAAATATTTATTAATAAACAAACTATTCGTTAACCACCAGTGTGTTTTCTTCTCATTATCTGATACGGGGACAACAGGTTAGAATTGGCCCTGTCCAACACATGCCTGAGTCGACTTAATGTACATTGACTAGTTTTATGAAGGAGGAAGGGTTGACTGATGCGTGTCTTTCACGTCTACCTCTTTGTAGAAACCCACAAGAATGGATATGTGCCTGACAGCGTATGCGTGATGCCAGCTGTACGTGTTACATTTACACTTAGAGAAAGTTGAACTCGTGAGCATCCGGGTTACAACTGGTCTTCAGCAACCCATGCTTGTAAGAGACGACTAACAGAATCGGGTGGCCAGGCTCGCTGACTTGGTTGACACATGTCATCGTATCCTAGTTGAGTAGATCAATGCTTATGATGTTGATCACTGGATTGACTGGTCCAGACTCGATTATTGACAGACCGCCGCCATATAGATGGTATACTGCTGAGTGCGGCGTTAAACAACAACCAACCAGCCAACAGTTGACCAGTATAATCTTCACCTTCGCCGGTAACGTTCACGCTGGTCCACGGACAGTATATCGTTTCCCTGAAACGGCTGAAATAGTTGTTCCATGATTCCTTGATAATCAGATATGACCATGATTGCCTATACTGCAATAGTGAATCACCTCGAAGCGTGGAATCAGCTGATCGTTCATTTCAGGCCATGTTTTGTCGTTTTGTTGACGTTTTGGAATGTAAGTAATTCAAGTCTTGTACTAGATGTCTAGATATTACACTGTTAAACCTGGAGTGTATTTTCATATTATACGTACTCATACTCTTTCATTTTATGACTGATGAGGCTATAGGCATGGAATTCAGTGGTTAGCTGTTGCGAAATGTGAAGGTCTTGTGTTCAACGTGTGGATTTCGTACATACTGGGATTCTTCACAACACACATATTCAGCAGGTATATAACAGAAAGTTGAATAACAAGTGTTCAGGATACTGTATAATAGACAATCATAGACGAATTATGTCAATCATTATCTACCTATTATACAATTTCAACACCGTGGAAATCACTGACATGAGTTTATTGTGTATGGTATATAAAAGGATTGTATGGATGAATAGTGGAGATCCGTTGAACAACTTTACAATGACTGCATTTCATTTATGATAAATTGAGGATATATATTTAAAATTTAGAATAGAGTGAGTGAGTTTAGTTTTACGCCGCACTCAGCAAATATTTCAGCTATATGGCGGCGGTCTGTAAATAATTGAGTCTGGACCAGACAATCCAGTGATCAACAGCATGAGCAGCGATCTGCGCAATGGGGAACCGATGACATGTGTCAACCAAGTCAGCGAGCCTGACCACCGATCCCGTTAGTCGCCCCTTACGACAAGCATGGGTTACTGAAGGCACATTCTAACCCGGACCTTCACGGGTCATTTAGAATAGAAGAAAAGGCTATACTAATCTAAATACATATTCAAGGTTACTTACCAACTTCAGGATTTCATCATATAAATCAACAACAATATATTTCATATTTTATTTCAAAATCTATAATGACACTGTTCAGTGTTGTGAACATCAAATAGTTTATATTTTACTGACCATCACTTGCAGTGTATGCATGCAATTTGCCTTCACAATGATAAGATCAGTATAATTGGCTGGACAAAACCCAAATTTATTTTTAGACTATGTATGTTTCTTTGCTGCAAACTCATTTTTCAAATTCTCACTCAAACAAATCTGTAATGTCAATCTTTTCTCCGTCTTTACATGAATAGATATCTGCATTGTACAATGTTGTAATTTTATTTGATATTTCTACACGCATGTGTACTTACACATTTCAAGACAGTGCTCGACCTTTTAGCAGTCATTATACATATTATTTGTTGAACGTGAAATTGTAAATATATGTATAAAACACACCTGCATAGCATGACTATGGGATTAAATTCGAATTTATGTCATCATAACAATATTGGATCTTAAAACAAATTCCCTGACATATCAATTCCAAAACGGACATAATCCTACAGCTGTGTTTGAGTACTGTTGAATGAAACCGCAATATAAAGCTGTAGAGGTGGTTTGTAAGGGAAAATATAATGCCAATTACATGTTATCCTAACAAAACAATACACATGTTTTTTATGTATCATACACACCCAATGGTGTAGTCAGTATGATATATTCTTTGTTGAGACAGACCTGTGTAAATTTATTATTTATTCTAAGACGTTTAGTTCAGTTTCAGCAAAGGTTGACAGTCCGTTTGATATCATTTGAGACCGATGAATTGCTCACTAACACAAAATCTAATAAATGCAACAAAACCAATTTTTGCATAGTCACATGAAATCGACAGACCAACTCTGTTGCTAATTACCTGGCTGTTCTACCAGCAAGTGGTCCACCTTCGTAAAACATAGCGAAAAGTGGCAACAAAATAATGATCGTTTTTTATTTTATACAACTTTTTATTCAGGTGTCCAAAATTATGAGACAAATCATCAGAGTTGGTCTGTCGATTCCATGTGACTGTGCAAACTTTGGTTTTGTTACAATTATAAGATTCGTTCTATGTTGCTGGTTCAAAGGGGACTCTTAAACCTTTTGTCAAGGCAAATCATTAACCGTAACACTTGATGACACCAGGTGTTCACCGAAAGGTGACCGGTTCCTCACAACATGATAATGTGACAAATGGTCGAAATGTCAATGTGACCAGTGTGACACTTTTTTGCTTGCTTTCGACACCCCACTCAGATTTTTGGCTCCAAGCCGACTGACCAGCAACGAAAGCTGTATTGAAAACCAAAAACTGTTTTATTTCGAAATAGCATCTAATTACATTAATTACATTAATCAATCCCGCTGGGTTTCTGGTTGAGGAGAAAGCCCCGAGGACAGTTCTTGCCTAGTAAGACTGAATTTAGTTTAATGCTGCTTTTCAGCAATATTCCAGCAATATCACGACGGGGGACAACAGAAATGGGCTTCACGCATTGTACCTATGTGGGGGATCGAACCCGGGCGTGACGAGCGAACGCTCTAACCACAAGGCTACCCCACCACCCCTTGCCACATAAGAATAATTGAGTGAGTGAGTTTAGTTGTATGTCTCTTTTTGGGAAAAACAACAGACTGTGGGAAGGTAACAGTGATAATTTATTACATCACGTCATTCATACACTGAAGGCAAAGTGTTAAATGTATGTTTTTGCAGAAGATTTAGTATGTACAAGAACAAAACATTTAAAAAATATAAGATATGCTTTATACAAAGGTTCACAGGATGGAGGGAGTATTGCAGCCCTTACTGACGACACATTCATAAAGGTGAGTGAGTGAGTTTAGTTTTACGCCGCACTCGGCAATATTCGAGCTGTATTCGAGCTGTATGCAAATAATACAGTGATCAACAGCATGAACATCGATCAACGCAACTGGGATACGGTGACATGTGTCAACCAAGTCAGTGAGCCTGACCACCAGATCTCGTTAGTCACCTCTTACGACAAGCATGGGTTGTTGAAGACCAATTCTAACCCGGATCTTCAGGGGTGCTGTGCGATAAGTATAAGGTTTTACATAAAAGGAACCGCTTAACAGTGAATTCCTTTGTTGTGGATATTATGTGACGTCACAGCGATAGGCACCAGACACACAAACCATCTCCTCGATACAATTTATATCCAGTATCTTATGTTCAAATTTATACGAAATGATAAAATTGCACACACGCCCTACTCACATCATACACTTGTGTTCGGTTTTGGCAACCCGTTCGGTCGCTTTCATTATTGCACGAGGCTCCTGAAATTGTAAACTCCCACACACGTCCATCCACCCGTATGGCAAGCCGTTTTCACATATATTAAAAATACGCATGTCTTAAATTGTTTTAAAGATGTCTTGAATGTATATAGAGATATCTTGAATTTAAGTAAAGATATCTCGTATTTAGATAATTATTGATATCTGTATTGAAATTCATGATATCGTGAAAAAAAGTAAGGATATAACGAAGCATAATAATGATATGTTGGAAAGAATAATATTGCTGATATCTTGAAATGAATTGGAGATATCTTTAATTGGATTGGAGATGTCTTGAAATGAATTAAAGATACTGTGAACAGATATTTTTTGCCGTTCGTTCCTGTTACTTGTATTATAGATATCAATAATAGATTTAAGGATATCTTCAAAATTAGTATTGATATCTTTAATTTGATGTTAGATGGCAGTAATGGCCAGAATTGAAGATATTTCTAATTGAATTGAAGATATCTCTAATTGAGTGACACATATCTGTAATGTGTTTGTGGATATGAATAAATTATTTCAGGATATCTTGAATTGAACGGAAGATATCTTGAATTAATTTCTAATACAATTATGTACACTATGATCGTAATTATCTTTAAAGGTATCTTTCATTTCTTAATAAATGTGAAATCGGTGTGCCATACACCAACACTAGAAGAACCCTCCAATATCTTCCAGTACCCTAGCTTTCACAGCCATTCCGCATCCGCTGGACAAAATGTGTAATTTGTAATTTAAGCCTTGAGAAGTGAATACAAATATGACATTTCAGGAATGAGTGCTATTAGCCAAATATGCAATGGCAGTATGAACAATTTTATATTTGGCAACTTTGCTAAGGGATATTAAAAGACTCCAATTTACACCTGCTTATCTCAAAAAGGTGCACATGAGCATGGTATGAACAATGTTTATATGTGGATGACTTTGTAGAAGAGATATTAAAAGCTCCAATTTACACCTGCATATGTGAAATAAGAATCAAATGAACATGATATGAACAATGTTTATAAGTGAATGTCTTTATGAAGTGATATTAACAGGCTCCAATTTACACCTGCATATCTCAAAGCAGAATCACATGGACATAATATGAACAATGTTTATATGTGGATGACATTGCGAAGTGATATTTAAAGGCTCCAGTATGGATTTACAAAACAGCTGCACATGAATAGGATTTTCAAACGTCTCTGCCTGTAATCTTCATGTCCAGTGAACTGTCCAGTCGGAAATAGACGTCCACATCTTCATCCCCGATGCTGTCGACGTCGACGGCGATATCCGTCCGTGTAGTTGACTCACTGGGTGGAGTGAAGCCATAGCTCTCGTATTGCAGCCAGGGGGACGTGCTGCTCACACCTCCGTTGTCCATGTTGATACGCTGAAGTTGCATATTGATGAAGTTTGTTGACGTGTCAGTTGGAACCTCGCTAGGAGCAGCCATATCTTCGAGGTGAGCTGTGGCATAGGCCGTATTATAGGTGACAGCACTCTTTACTTCATCATCATGGTCATATCCTTCGTTGGCATAAACAGGTCTTTGTTTCCAAGAAACAGAGTCCTCTACTTCATCTTCATGTTGGGAGCCGTAAGCTGAATCTTGTCGTTGGAACCTTTTACAAAACCAATCTGGATCCGATGTCTCGAAGTGTTTGGCTTTGGTTACAGCTTCTAAGACGTTGCGGCCTCCTGTTGTGGCTTGTAGGTTGTCCATACCTTCAATCTGTCTCCTGTTCATGGCATTGACCTCATGGATGTGGCACATCAGCTCCTTAAAGTGTTTAGGCAATTTGTACTGAAGACCTGGGCTTATCTCCTTTAGGACGAAATCCTCATTGGTGTACTCAAAGTATACCAGAATGGTCTTCTTGAAGAAGCCAGGTTCTGCTGATTTGGCCATTACATGGGTCATTGCAGGGGAGAAGGTGTCACCTTCAGGGCCTTCGTCGTCGGCCCTGTAGGTGGTGCTGGTGCTCCTGGTATCGAACAGATTGTACGCCGCCTCCGAGCTGATGAGGATCACGTAGTCCGACTGGTCGATATGGGTCATGATCCATTGGTAGACGCCCGTTGTCTGGATGGTGCCGCGGAACCACGGCAGGAAGAACACCTCGCACTTGCAGTGGTCTTTCAGGTAGATGGCCAGATTGGTGATCACATTAATGTGATCTTTGTGATCTTCGGCATACAACAAGTATACCTTCTTCACGGGATGAGCTGGAAGACATGGACGTGAGTGAATGGGTGAGTGAGTGAGTGAATGAGTGAGTAGTGAGTAGACTACCCGACCGCCCTTGGATTAATCGACTGAGAGATACATATATAGAGAGTAGGCTGCCTATTGAATTAACTGCTCTAAAATGAATTAAGAACAGTGTATGCCGTTTAACCTTACTGATTGTATGTAAAAGTCATCGAGATATGTTTCCGCGTTTTTTCGTCTGTTTTGCTGTTTCGTAATAGTTTAATGTGCATCAAAAGGAATTATACTCTGTCAGAATATGAATACGTTTTAATACATAGATAAATTGACAACCAGATTGGATACACAAGGGTTAGAATTGGTCTTAAGCACCGGTATCGGGTGATTTGGTTGACATATGTCATCGTATCCCATTTGTGTATATCGATGCGCATGTTGCTCATCACTGGATTGTCTGGTCCCGATTATTTCCAGACCACCGCCATATAACTGGAATTTAGCTGAATGCGGGGTTAAACAACAAACAAACAAACAAACAAACAAACAAACAGGCTACGGAGCGATATATAACATGTTACCACTCCACAGGAGGACCCCTAAAACATATGGATGTCCCCAGACGGAAGCCAACGCCCTACAGAACAGTCACCAGCCAACTCACTCATTCACTCAGTGTCTTATTCAGTAACGTTTCAAGCATACCATGAGAGTGGTTTTGTTGATTGAGATAGTTCTGGCCGGGCTTCGTGTTGACCTCAAAATTGTTTCCGGCTGAAAATATACAAAATAATTAAATAGCAAACAAATAGTATTCTACTCGACATCTATTCCTTTACATGGAATAAAAACAGTAAGGCCCAGCTTCTACGATAATGAATTGTGATACATGAATGTGTGTGAATGAATCTTTTTCATTGATGTGTGCAGTAACGAAGTTCCTACATATGGCTAGGGATAGTCGCCCACAGTCCTCGCAACTTTAAAGAGTGAGTGAGTGAGTGAGTTTAGTTTTGACGCCGCTTTGCCAACATTCCAGAAATATCCCGGCGGGGGGACATGTATATGTGTGTGTGTGTGTGTGTGTGTGTGTGTGTGTGTGTGTGTGTGTGTGTGTGTGTGTGTGTGTGTGTGTGTGTGTGTGTGTGTGTGTGTGTGTGTGAGTGTGTGTGTGTGAGTGAGTGAGAGAGAGAGAGAATTGACCGGAAGAGATGCATGTCGGAAGAGATGACTAACGGCATCGGGTGGTCAGGCTCCCGCGTAGATCGATGTTCATGATGTTGATCACTGGTATAGACTCGACTATTTACAGACCGCTGCCATATAGATGGAACATTGCTTAGTGCGGCGTAACAAACAAACAAAACCACCGAGTATATCGTTTAGTCGGTCCGGGTCCATTGGACCCATTCTGCAATACATCTGCATACCTGAACGATGTTTTCTCCAGAGCAGGACCACCACCAGAGATACACACACAATGCCGACCAGGCCTCCAGCAAGCGCTGCAACAACCGTGATCACATCCTCTGACGTCAGAAAATCTGCAGCTGCAGCTGAAACATTTGGTCCGGGATCATAATTAGAGAGGTTTCTGACAGGCCGAAGCGAAGCAACTCTCACCACTGCAAATGGAGATGCAGCAGGCGACGTAGACAACCCAGTTATCTCCCTTTTCCGCTTGAAATAATACATTCAATATTCAGTGTTAGCAACGTGTTGCTTTAGACATGTCAGAAAAACTCAATACATCTCCAAACACTTTAGAGTTTTCTCCCTTTGCGCTGGGAATACGTTTTCAGTAATAATGAATTTCATTTCAAATGCTTTCAATAAAATATCATATGGACGTTTTCGGTTTATCTTATACTGACCAGCAATTCAAGAACTCAAAATAATTGTGTTAAAGTATGAAATCCAAACTCCAAAAAAGTATAATTTTCATGAATTCTGAGTTGCGTTTTTATTGCTGGTCGGTATATATACAAGGCCCCAATCTCAGATCCTATCTACACCTTACTTGATGGAGACACAGAATGACTGTCTTGGGTGCCTGTTGTTGTGCCCGTTGTCCCCGTGGGCGCTGTTGGCGATGCTCCTGGATTGTAAAGATACGGAACTTTAGGACAGCTAATAAAATTTACAATGTCATTATCATCAAATGTTATAGTCCCCTCTCTTCCCTAAACCTACATGGATCATGGATCATGGATCATGGATCATTCAAATCTGACAAGCATATTAGATTTCTTCAACTCCAAAATGAAATAGAACGAGTATTTCCGAATGCAAATGATTGAGGCACACGATCTATTGTTATTAATGTTTAATACGCACCGAAACTTCTGAACTGTGCTTTTAACGTTCTGTGATTGAAGAGTTAACAGACGCAACTATTATATGTACCTTAATCGTGTCTTGTAAATATATTGTTGGTTGTATATGTTAGAGGGCTGGGCCTATATCATAGCAGAGGATCATTCAATGCTGTTTAAAGCGGCAGCGAAAACCGACAGTATCGTAGCTTTGATTGGCATTGTGACTAGACAATAGGCAGTAGGCAGTAGGAAGATATGGAGTGCTGTACACTACAGTTCTAGCAGATTAAGCATTTTAAAAATATTGTGTTTAACTTATTTTGAGCAGTATATATTGAATTAGTGGTCGGGCTCCAGTCTTGGCTGATAGTGCTACATCGTATCTGGGTAGCTGGAATCTTTGCTCGTGACTAAACAATTTAACAAGTCATGATCCGGGTTAGAATCGGTCTTCAGTAACCCATGCTTGTCGGGTGGTCAGTCTCTCTGACTTGGTTGACACATGTCATAGTATCCCAGTTGTGGAGATCGATGGCCATGCTGTTGATCACTGGATTGTCTGGTCCAGACTCGACTATTGACAGACCGCCGTCATATAGCTGGAATATTGCTGAGTGGGGCGTTAACCAACACATAAACAGACAAATGAAACAAGTCTCCATGGAAACGCTGTAGGGTAAAAACCATTCACTTCGTCTTCGCCTGATCAAACGTAACAGGTTCTGACCTGTTTGTCCTTGAAATGGATATTTACAGGCCGCTCTAGCAACCCTGAAAAGCTGCCGACTGCGGCTCAAAACTCAATTCACCCACTAAAACACACTAGCAGCCTTAGATAGACCAGGCGTATCATGCTGTGGATTGTTTGTCATTTACAGGCCGATCTGGCAGGGTCCAAATGGTGCCAAAGCGGTCTAAACTACCATTCACTCGCTCACGTAAATAAATACCCATACTCAACCTTACCTGGCTCAGTCGTACGAGGCATTGTTGTTGAGCTTTCGTCTTGTGACCCGCCTTAAAAGGAAGACAGCTTGATCAGTCAACAGCAATCCACTGTACTATACATTGGCCACAGGTAACTCATGTTGAACGCGACTCTGATTGACAGTTAAGTCATATAGTCACATGGACACCTAATGACAAATTCCTACTTGCTTGCTGAGTGAGTCAGTGAGTTTGGTCTTATACCGTTTTTAGCAGAATTCCAGCAATATCACGGCGGCGGGCACCAGAAATAGGTTTCACACATTGTACCCATGTGGTGAATCGAACCCGGGTTTGTGGCGTGACGAGCGAACGCTTTAACCACTACGCTACCTCAGAGGATACTCAGGGTGCTATAAAGCCAATTATCTTGGGACAAATGCCAGATTCGAATTCACGACCATCCTGTCGTGGCTCAAACTAAAGCAGTGGTCGACTTGTGTCCTTAATAACTTAGAACAAATAATTGATTTATGTTCCAAAATTAAATGGTGAGATGAAATAATAACACATAAAAGTTCTCAAAGTGATGTTGAAATGTAATAGTACTGTTACAATTAACGAATTACAATTACATTAAATCACATAATCACACACAATCCCAATTAAAACGAAGATAAACAAGTTATGTAAATAAAAAATAGTTAACGAAAGCAGGGTACACACGGCATGATTGATATGACGAGGAATATGAAAATATGAAATGGTACTGAAACGAACAATATGAAATAACATTCAACAGAAATCTGACGGAAATCACCAGTGATACGAGGATACATGCCCAAGGTGGGAGATTACAAAAGTTGGAACAGGTGCTTCATTTACGGACAGGGATTAATAGAACTGTGATATGTTGGCATGTGAGTATCAGATACAGTCAGATCCCGGGCGGTTCCCGCTAAAAACAAATTTCTAAATTGGCGAATCATCTCTGGACTGTTATTAATATACAGATATCCAAAATAGTCACCTGGATATAAGGGTTTCCAGCTTAACGGGGTCCAAATTAATGAGTTTGACTAATGATGATGATGATGATGAAGATGATGATGATGGGTGAAATGAAAACACGGAAAATACGAAACAGAAACAAATAAACACAGAAATATGAAACAAGACACAACAAAAATACACAGTAGATATAAGTAGGAAATTACTATGAAATCCTAGAATGAACATTGTCGCGGTTAATTAACCAAGGACATTTTGGCCATTTGTTGTATTGACTGTACGCTATGTCGCATTGTCGCATTGTCGCACTTCGAATATTAATAATATTTTTCTATTCATCCAAATGAAGATAATGCGGCATGGCAACACTTTTCAAGGTCAAAATATGTCGCATTGTCCCGTTGTCGCACGTTTTAAGGCTATTTTACACATCTTAGATGGGGCCACAACGCGACAATGTCCCTTCCAGGATTCCATAAATTACACATGGGGTATTTTGACGACTCCTTAAAAATGTCATGACACAGAGATGTGGGGTGGCAGACATTTTGTGCCCCTGTTGTTAACGTGTCATCACCCTGGTTGAGCGGCGTAAAACTAAACTCACTCATTATTCCCTAGTTGAAACATGTCATTGTATCCCTGTTGCGTTTATTGATGTCCACTCCGCAATACTCCAGCTATATGGCGGCGGTCTGTCAATAATTGAGTCTAGAGCAGACAATCCAGTCATCAACAGCATGAGCATCGATCTACGCAATTGGGATACGATAACATGTGTCAACCATGTCAGCGAGCCTGACCACCCGATCCCGTTAGTCGGCTCTTACGACAAGCGTAGGTTACTGAAGATCAATTCTAACCCGGATCTTCACGGGGCAGATCTCTAAAGGACAAACCAAAGGCAGTGAACTAAGTTTGATAAAACTCAAAACAATGACCCAAACGATATTCTATGAATGGCATTGTGGCAAGTGGTTAAGTGTAACTTATTTTTCGGATTACACTTTCCAATCCCGGATTCGAACCCCTATTTTCAGAGTCAGACAGCTAAACGGTAGCACGGTCAGTGATGTAATCCATTCAGCCACCGCGGCTTCTACAAAATGGAAACCCGTGAAGGTCCGGGTTAGAATGAACCTTCAGTAACCCATGCTTGTCGTTAGAGGCGACTAACCTGATCGGGGGTCAGGCTCGCTGGCTTGGTTGACACATGTCATCGGTTCCCAATTGAACAGATCGATGCTCATGCTGTTGATCACTGGATTGTCTGGTCTGACCTATATGGTCTGGTCCGCCATTTAGCTGGAATATTGCTGAGTGCGGAGTAAAACTCACTCACTCACTCTACAACATGGAGTCAGACAACTAGTAGTCTAGATCATCACGGCCGAAAGCAATGCCATTTACAACAATACACTTCCTTAAATAACCAGAACGAAAAAAGGTATTCTCGTCAGCTGAAACTACCAAAGCAGATCCTGAAATGTATTCTACAGCATCAAAAACGAAAATAAAAAATCGCGCCAAAAGACCCCATTTCCACCGAAAGACCTGAGGATATCGCACCACATGTCACGTCAAAACGATTTTAGCAAACTTTGACCAACCATTCAAATGAGTGAGTGAGCGAGTGAGTTTAGTTTTATTCCGCTTTCAACAATGTTCTAGCAATATCACGGCTAGGGACACCAGAAACGGACTTCACACATTGTCCCATGCGGGGAATCCAATCACGATCTTCGGCGTGACCAGTAAATTCCTTTACTACTAGGCTACACCCGCCGCCCCACCAATCAACTGACCAGCTAGACAGTAGCCAGTCGGAAAGAAGCTTTCTCGAACTTTGCAGAGCAACACTCAAGCTGCTGACATGCATTCCTGCCTACTTTTAAAAACAGGCTTCCCAATTTGAAAAATTGAACAAAAGGACATTCTGGAATGTTTCATAGATAGTCTCTTCCGTTTCGACCGCCTCCGTGGTGTAGTGGTTAGAGCGTCCGCCCGGAGGTGAGGTGAGGTGAAATTGGGTTTAACGTCGTGCTTGAGAATATTTCGCTTATATGACGACGTGCATGCCTGTGTATGTGTATGTGCGGCTGCTTGTACTAGCCCAGACTGAGGCTGGTTTTATAGTGCTAGCCCACTGAGATACCATGCCGCAGTGAAGCATGAATACCCAGGATATCTCAGACACAGTATACTGCCTGGCGCTCGGCATTAATGGGTACAACGAGTCGACCAGTCCTTGTTGTACCCATTAATGCTTCACTGCGGCATGGTATCTCAGTGGGCTAGCAATATAAAACCAGCTTCAGTCTGAGCTAGTACAAGCAGCCGCACATACACATACACAGGCATGCACGTCGTCATATGAGCGAAATATTCTCAAGCACGACGTTAAACCCAATTTCACCTCACCTCACCTGACCTCAAATGTTAATCCTTTTGAAGTGATAGATGACGATTTGGATGCTATCAGTCAGTTAGAAGGTAACCGTGCTTCGGAATGCACGAGGGTCGAAATATCACGGCAGGTGATACCAGAAATTGGTTCACACACTGTACCTATGTGGGGAATCGAACTCGGGACTTCGGCGTGACGAGCGAACGCTTTAACCACTGGGCTACCCTCACCGCCCCCAAACATCACAGGTGATAACCTACCTCGCACGGCAATGTCCCCTGTTACGGTAAGGATGCATCTTACACACGAGCGAACAATGCTGGATGTCTTCTCGTAACACAGACAGCGATTGGGATCGTTCCAGTAGGGGTCATCAGGCTCCATCTAGAAGATTGAGATTGAGATTGAGATTGAGATTGAGAGTGAGAGTGAGATTGAGAGTGAGAGTGAGAGTGAGAGTGAGATTGAGATTGAGATTGAGATTGAGAGTGAGAGTGAGAGTGAGAGTGAGTGAGTGAGTGAGTGAGTTTAATTTTACGCCGCTTTTAGCTATCTATCTATCTATCTATCTATCTATTTATCTATCTATCTATCTATCTATCTTGGCTACCTGCCGCCGTAAAACCATACTCACTTACTCTAAAACTTAAAGTCTACAGAATTATGACCCTTCGAAAACCGATCGATAATGATCGTCTACGAATCAGACAATCATGGTGAAATACTTAGCATCCCGTACTGCGCCATTATATATATATAAGGGAAACGTTTTAAGAATGCTATCAGTGGAATCTGTCAAATCAGGACTCTGTGTAATCCGGTTTTCTCCATAATACGAGTGACCGCTTTACAATCCGGACAAATGAGTCGGTCCCATGCCAGTCCATAATAGACAGATTCCACTGTAACTGTGTTATGACATTTACTTCTATTTGGCAACTTAAAACCCTAATGGTAATATATACTGACCGAAAAAAATAAGGGATCACTTGAAAGGACAGGTGTTCCTTTATTTTGTTTCCAAGGTTTCTTCACAAGCTTTGTATCTCATAGCATGATTTATTATTCTCATCCTGATGTATTGCACTCCAAAGCATTTCGTGTCGGGGGTCATCTCAAATTTTTATATATGTATTTTAAAATCTTTAATCCTCGCAAAGACACGAGGGCCTGTGCACTAGAGTTGAAAAGTCAAACTGCACACTCTCGAGCTCATTAAATAGAATGTCATTTGCCTGTCTTATGGGCCGAAGGCCTCTTTACTGAATAAAAACAGTCTGTCTGTCTATTGGTGTAAGGTAAACATCAACTTACCCTAATCCGGTATACGTCCACCACAGTCACAGTGAACGTTATGGTGATCGAGGTAGCATTAGCTGCAGGTTTGTCATAGGTCTGAAAAAAAAGAAAATTTAAGTCATTTCTCGTGTTAAAATTTCATAGTAATGAGCTATGGCAACTGGCCACCATCGAGCTTTCTTGCGGACATGACTTAAAAAAGGAGAGGGTGGGTGAGGTTAGTTTTATGCCGCTTTAAGCAATACTCCAGCAATATGACTGCAGGGGACACCAGAAATGGTCTTCACACAATGTACCCAATGGAGAATCGAATCCGGGTCTTTGGCGAACGAGCGAACGCTTTGACCACTAGGATACCCCGCCGCCCGCCCGGGGTCAGATTGCTAGCCTCAAGAATCGCATTGTAAGTGACTTATTAGGATGAAGATTGGATGGGGCGGAATAATACGAAATAGGGAGGGATTGAATGGGATGGGATGGGATTAGGAGATGACAATTGGATTGTATCTAACTGTCTGGGATATATTCGGGGGTAATCAGGAAATAGTCACAAAAAGGTTGGACAGTCTCTTGGTGAAGGTCCTGAAAAACACCTCCCTGGAGAGGCGTATGTGAAAATGTACATTTTACGATGCAATATAAAATGATTTTCATTCAATCTCTTGGTAATGGTTGGAATTTTCGGCATGTAAGTAATTGTGGTGTTTTTGTTTTGCAACCATAACGTTTGTAACTTGCAAGTCACAAGCAAAACACTTTCCAAAATATTTACGTTGTGTTGTGGAAAATGACCCCAAATCACCAGGCGTGTACTTTCTTTTGAACGTCAGTATATAAAATATATTTTAATAATAAACTTTGACACCCTCCCCTTTCTTCACATCCTCGTAATAAATGACTGTCTGCTTACATGTATTCTTTTTATTATCTGCCCTTAGTGGCCATTGACCTTACCACATAAATAATAAACTACACTTAGATCATGTTTAAACCATCGGTGTAAACTTAAGTAATACACATCTGTGTTTAGATCTGGAAGGGTTATTCAACAAGTCTGCTCAAAAGGAAACTAAAAACTAAAAAAAATATACTTTAAGTAATTAAGGCTTAAAGCGCATGGTCACTGACTTACCTTGCCCTGGCAAGTGGACGCCTGGAAGATGGAAATTTCGCATCTTTCGAGGAAATTAAAGGTATCTCTTTCTCCCATCAGGGTAAAGATGTAATTTGTGAAGTTGAATTCCTTGGGGGCCAGGCTGAAACGGGCTGTAATTGCTGCTGGGACTGAGGGGTAGATGTTTGTGTATGACACAGCGGCTGTCCACCATCCCGGTGAATTGACATCTGTAACAGAACAAGCAACCATACACTAACGCTTATAATCTCTAAAATGCATACTACATTCGACAGAAACAAATAATGTCATTTACACTGAAAAGGGGGTGGTGAGGTAGCCTAGTAGTTAAAGCATTCGATCGTCACGCCGAGTACCCGGGTTCGATTCCTCACATCGGTACAATATGTGAATCTCATTTCTGGTGTCCCCCGCCTTGAATGTTGCTGGAATATTGCTTAAAACGGGACAAACTAAAACCCATTAGCTCACTTGAAGCTGAAAAGGAGCCCAAGTGAGATAGAACCTGAGAAAATTTTAACTTGCTTCCTTTGCAACTTTCGTATTGCAGTAAGGAAAATAATGGCATTGAGGGAGCGTGAGAAAGACTGCCATAACCTACAAACCGAATATGAGTCTCATTAACCTATTCAGACAATGACCTACTTCTCAGCCGATCTGAATGTTTTCATGTGAAAGTGAAACTAGACATCACAAACAACTATGGTTACACTGAATTCCAATTCCTTGTTTCCTAAGAAACTGGTATTTACCAATGAATTTTAATTATGAACTTTAATAACATCGTATTTCTATATTTTATGGCGCGGTGTAGGCAGCATGACCTTAACGAAGACGTCACAGAGGGCCCCTGTTTGATGAGGTCATAACATTATTCACAATGCATCTGGCTCACTGGTTACACCTGTTATCGTTTGTTTGCGCTTATTCAATGTAGTTCTTTAACGTACAATGCAATTGATATAATATTAATTTCGTACCAGACCGCCAACCTTTTCTAGCGACAGAGCCTCGTTTTGAGATTTCCACGATTTCCAGGTTTCTGTTTGTCAGAGCTCGCTGTACGACAGAGCACGCTGCACGACGTGTTTGCAAGGATTAGAAGGGTCGTAGTGTTGCAATATACGAGTGCTTAGATGTATCAAATAATACGGATAAATATTTATATATCCAGCTAAATGAATTGATCTAAAAATTCTGGACTGGTTATTGTACTAAGTTGCGCAATAGGACGGAACCCAGTCAACAGGAAACGCGACTGTTGTGTAATCAATGTTTGGACATTTAACGAACGTACGTACACGTACAGTCGTAGTGCCACCATCACTTTGTGGGACGAGGACCAGGGTCCCCATCCACAAAACGTTCGTAGCACTGCTACTTCTATGATAAATAATAGAGTTACGACAGGTAGTAACGTTACGAATGCTTTGTTGATAGGAACCAAGTGCCTAAATGGAGCCACGTATTACAAAGAGACCTCAGAGTTTTGATGATCGTAACCTCAATGGTTTAACATTGACTTACGACAGTGGAAGATAGAAGATCACTTGGTGAAACTCGCTGCATTGCAGGGCAGGACGTATTTGAGTGTATATACAGTTCGACAGTCGTAGCGTAGACGTCAAGTAGCATGGGGACAATTGAGCTTCGTTTAACCATGCGACCAAAGCACTTTTATGCTGTCGTCACCCAATTTCGTAGATCGATGCTAATGAGGTTGACCACCGGATTGTCTGGTCCAGATTCGAATATTTACAAACCGCCGATATATGGCTGGAATATTGCTGAGTGCGGCGTTAACTCAAACAAACAAACAAACAAACAAACAAACAGTCTGATTACCTGGGGACTGGAGCTTGAAGAACTGGCTTTGCCACTTTGATGCAGATGCAATGGGCAGGGTGTACAGCATCAGATGATAAAGATGGTTGATACCGCCTTCGAAACCGAGCATCTTCTTCCTGAACGTCAGCTGAAATTGAAATTTGCTTTCAGTTAGTTTAATGTTGTAGTCCGAAAATAATTTTGCTGTAAGTCAGAAATCTTTTAATCAAACTTTAAACAATAAATATGTTATAAAATATTAAAAACAACAGCAATCAAAACTGTCTCACGATGACTTTTAACAGCAGACAATACGTTTTTTCAACAGCTTGAAGCATAAATATTTCTTGGACAGTGTATTGTTGTTGTGTTTTTCACAAAATCGCTTAGCGAAATAAAATGTATCCATATTTTGTAAAATTAGCCTCCCCATGATTGTCCCCTTGAGTGGAGTCAAGGCCAAAACAGATCCAAGCACATTCTCATTAGTTCCCTTTCCATGGTTGCATTCTCTCACTTTTCCATATTTAGCTTTTTACCAAAGGTCGAGATCACGAGATTGTCACTCATAGTATTTCATATATTCATGATTACCTTATAGTCCTCCGAAGAAAAAATGTTCTGGGAGAAGTCAAACACCCGACAAACTGGCATCGGATATCCTGCAATGACCCTCTGAATCTTCACATAGAACCCCTTCAGATTCTTGAATCCGGAAGCTACAAAACCAATGAATAACATAATAGAGGATAGTATTTTTAGAATCCAATGAAACTATTATAACAGGATATATACGACACCAAACTTTCACACAGATTTCATTTAGCTAACAAACGTAGCTATTGCAAGCTTTAACTTCAAAGGAGAAAAAAACTTTAAAGGCGTATGTATTTATTAAATATAATATGTACCCACTAGAGAATAATAGTTCTCGATTTTGGTGTGATGTGTGTGGTTGGGTCTGTGTGTACGTATGGGGCTGAGGTGGTGAGTGGGTGAGTTGGTTGAGTGGGTGGCTGGGTTAGTGAGTGAGTGGGTAAGTGAGTGAGGGTGGAACCCCAAGTGATGAAGCAAGGATAGAGCTTATTAGCCATAATTAAAATATAACTGAAGATGGTCACACGCTACGTTGAAGCATACCTGTTGCCGGCGGTGTCCAAGTGATCACCACTTGAGAGTAGCTAATTCCAAGTGTCTCGTTTCGGTAAAGAGCCCCTTCAACCTCCAAAGTCTGCGGTGGTCCCATGAAGTCTCCTCCTACGTTCGGGGGCAGATCACTGTCGTTACAGCCTTGAAAAACAACGTCAGTTTCGGTTATATCGAAGTCGTTATAACGAATAGCCGATTATCTCGAACCGAGTTTATGTCTACATCATGCTTGACGTTGATATGTGATATCACCACATATTTACCGTTAATCATCCACAACTTGCATGCCATAGACAAATGACACTACTTATTATTCACTGTGGAGATCTAAAAGACGCTTACCGATGAAATGTTAAAAACCCTATATAGCCCCTGTGATTATCCAACATATGCTTGACGTTAATATGTGATATCCCTGTATAGTCACTGCCAGTATCCAACATATGCACGACGTTAATATGTGATATCTCTGTATAGTCACTGTCAGAATCCAACATATGCATGACGTTAATATGTGATATCACGTTATAGTCACTGTCAGTATCCAACAGATGCATGACGTTAATATGTGATATCTCTGTATAGTCACTGTCAGTATCCAACAGATGCATGACGTTAATATGTGACATCTCTGTATAGTCACTGTCAGTATCCAACAGATGCATGACGTTAATATGTGACATCTCTGTATAGTCACTGTCAGTATCCAACAGATGCATGACGTTAATATGTGATATCTCTGTATAGTCAGTATCAATTGTCGTTAATATTCATCTGTATAGTCACTGTCAGTATCCAACAGATGCATGACGTTAATATGTGACATCTCTGTATGTTCACTGTCAATATCCAACAGATGCATGACGTTAATATGTGACATCTCTGCAATGCAACACAGTGGAGTTTAAGGTGCCAGTTCAAGTACTTTGATAGAGTTGCCCCCACCCCAACCTTTATATATGTTCACATTTCTATTGGCATAATATGCTGCAGTAAATACACAGATACACACACATACACACATATACTCACACACATACACACATATACTCACACACATACACACATATACTCACACACACACACATATACTCACACACATACACACATATACTCACACACATACACACATATACTCACACACATACACACATATACTCACACACATACACACATATACTCACACACATACACACATATACTCACACACATACACACATATACTCACACACACACACACATATACTCACACACATACACACATATACTCACACACATACACACATATACTCACACACATACACACATATACTGATACACATATACTCACACACATACACACATATACTCACACATATACACACATATACTCACACACATACACACATATACTCACACACATACACACATATACTCACACACATACACACATATACTCACACACATACGCACATATACTCACACACATACACACATATACTCATAAATAAACAAACATATTCTCACACACATATACACATATACTCACACACATATACTCATATACTCATAGACACATATACTCACACACATACACACATATACTCATAATAAACACACATATTCTCACACACATATACTCATAGACACAAACATATATACTCACACACATACACTCATAAATAAACACACACATATGTCACACACACACACACACACACACATATATATATATATATATATATATATATATATATATATACACACATATATACATATCCGCATAAATATAATATATAAGATGTTTTGTTTTGAAAATGCAATTAAAATGTTACTGCTAAGAGAATCTCTCGTCTCTCGCCCCCTTGCCCACAACCCATTCCACTGACATATTATCATTCTCTATATTTAACCAGTATGGCAGCGTAATGGTACGGAGATACCAAACAATCTTCATGGCCAGAGTTGCGTACAGCCTTCCTACGTCACTATTCCACATCCTCCACTTGCCTCCTCACTCGACAGACTGCTCAGCTAGATCATTATCGTAGGGATGGACATTTTTACAATCCATTCAGCTCAAATAAGAATGATGACCCTAACACAAAGAACCTCATAATCCGTATTGTCTTATCACATATCCACCAGTTTAATGATATATATCGCATCGCATCGTGTACAGCTTGTATAGACAAACTATTGAGAAGGATACAAAACGCAGCTTCTACTGAACTTTCTACTCCACCTACTTCCAAGACTCTAAATAACATTAACTTAGCACGCCCCATTAAGATACCTTGTGGATAGTGGAAAGAGAGCAGGTTGCATTGGCCCTTCTCATTTCTGATAAATCACACACACTCATTGGTTCTGCCCAATAAGTAGGTCAAAATGGTGGAATGCTTTGTGTGTCAGATGACTTAGTCTTGTACCATACCAAACTCAGACTTCGTAGTGGAAGACCTTCAAGGCATTCTGCTTGGTCTTGACTTCCTACAGCAACACACTGCTTCAGTACAACAACTTCTGCTTCTGTCCTGGTTTAGTTGAAGCACCTGGGCCCCAGCACAGATAGTCTATTGTTCAGATGTCCAAACATATCACTATTCGCCCAAGGTCAGAACTTTGTTTTGAATTAGACATGCCAATTAACACCCCATAGACTAACTTAGTACACTGCAGCCACTTATAACTTAAACCAGAAGTCATCAGGTCATGGGTATTCATGGTGTAGTGAGATATGTCGACTCAGGTCCCTTACATATTACTCAACCGTACCAGCTTTACATTCACCTTACCAGCAAATGCACCTGTTGCTATGTTTGAGTCACCTGAACCACACTTTGGCCTGAGCCCCCTTCAGTATACACCCGTGAAGATCCGGGCTAGAATTGATCTTCAGTAACCCGTGTTTGTCGTAAGAGGCAACTGACTTGATCGGGTGGTCAGGCTCGCCGACTTGGTTGACATGTCATCGTATCCTAATTGCGTAGATCAATGTTCATGCTGTCGATCATTGGATTGTCTGGTCCAGATTCGATTATTTACTGACCGCCCCATATAACTGGAATATTGCTGACTGCGGCGTGAAACTAAACTCACTCACTCACTATATATGTGTGTACATAGTTCTCCAGTTTGGACTGCCTTTGTGTGTAACGTGTTTAAAACATACAATATCTATGTGTATGGTCCTCTTCATGCTACTCAAATACAAGTCCCGCTTGGAGACGTATAAAGATATAAACTGCCGGGTTAAAGTTTTCTATTTAAACGTTGGATTTTAAAAAAAATCAACAAACGTTTTCGAAACACTTTCCGGAACATTGCATGCTTAAGACCTTAAAAACAACTTATAGTTTCAAACACATCAACACAGGTAAAGATTTCTCGTTTGTTTCATTCTACTTCACCATCAAACATTCCTGTATACTTTCTTTCACAGTCAGTACACGTAAAACTAGAAGTACTCACGGAAATAGAAATAAAATGTTTTTTCGTTTCGTAGTTTTGAACACAACTATAGTTTCATTGTAAAATATTCTATGACTATCGTTTTTTGCATATCATACAATGTGAAATATCAAATTTAGGTGTTTAGCATACATTTGTAGGATTACATAGAAATATGTTTCATTCTGTTACTCAGTGACTGTAATCTCATGAGCTTGGGACATTTGCAAATCGCTTAACACTATAAGTCTGTGAGAACAGTAACCCCACTTGACCTAGGAAACCGAATTGATACCTTCCGTGACAAGGGCGCTGGCTTAGATAACTGTGTCAATGACAATGCTCCCAACAAGTCCCCTTCAACACCACAAGGCCACAAAGCCCTTGCCAAGCTCGAATCCATTCCCCAAAATATCAGTTGGGACAGGATGATATTCCACTCGCGGTACTTCAAGGGAAATGGAATACCCAAACCAAATCCAACCTGTCATTGACAAAGTTGAGGAGTGAGTTATTGAATGAGTTTACTTTTACGCCGCACTCAGCAATATTCCAGCAATATTCCGTCTGTCTGTAAACACTCGAGTCTGGACCTTTCAAAGTATGCAATCAGTGAAGAGTCTACCAAAACGAAAGTCCTGTAGCTGAGTTAGTTAGATAGGACTCTCATTTCCGTAAACACTTTCAGTGTTCGTACACAGTAGTGACATTGGAACATCCGTGATTATTCAGGGACATCCCATTCGAAATATTCAACATATCAGCCTTAAGAGCCACTTTGATTGAATCTGAAGCTATACAGAGGGGCAAAAGAAACTTTCTCACTTCAAAATGATATTGCAACAACTTAAAACACAAGTTCAAACTAAATAAATGCAAAACACAACGTCCAAACACAACAATGGTCTTTATGTTGAAAGTGTGGGTAATGGCACGAGATTAATCCAGGCATCAATAATGAAATGACAATGGCTGAAATCAAAATTTCAAATTTTTGAAATAAACTTAAAGAAAGGAGTAAATACTCAAAGCAACGAGAAATTAATCGAAACAATGAAACATTTACTGAAGCAATTGATTGCAACGACTGTATTTTTATGCAATTGGTGTCTTGTCAGCCTGAAAATGCTTGAATATATATTTTCATTCTACTCACATGGACGACATATGTTTGTCTTAGCTTCGAATTTATGTTTGTCTTAGCTTCGAAGTGGGGCACCTAAACGCCATACTAGTTTAGATCACAGATTCAAACTATCCCATCAGCTAGCACTCTCATTTCCGTAAACACTTTCAGGACACACCTTCAGTGTTCGTACACATCCGTAACTATTCAAGGACATCTTATTCGACATATTTAACATATCAACCTTAAAAGTCACTTCGATTGAATTTGAAGCTATACAGAGGGGCAAACAAATTTACCACTTCAAAATGAAACTGCAAAAAACTTAAAAACACAAGTTCAAACTAAATCAATAGAAAGCACAACGTCCAAACACAACAATGCCTTATATAGAAAGTGATACACTTCCAACATACGTTTTCTTGTAAACAAATATGCGAATATATACAAGGGAAACCAAACTACAATTGCAATCAAGGTATATGAATGATACGGACGGCATGTGAGACACTCAAACTGATAGAAATCACCACTGAAATGCGACGACTAAGACTCGAACAGCGCGACCTGGCCCTGGGTGTGA